TGCAGCAGAGCCCAGTGGGATCAGTACAGGGGCCTGAATATATATAAAGACAACGCTGCTATAACAATGTAGGGGGATACCATTACTGATTAGTCAGGCCTCTAGAATAGAAGTTCGAACAGTTTCTCTTCGTACTCTTTACAAAACTTTGGACTCAGAGCTTCCAGCTTTACGCTTTTAGGTGTCGTTTAAACAGTTTGGGGACGATCCGGAGTACTCAGTATTTCGCCTAACCTAAGTGCAAACAGGATGTCGTTCGGGACAGCTACCTGAAAGTGCGAATCGTGCCTGCTTCTTTGCAAACAGGATGTCATCCGTCGCCGCTGCCTGCCAGATGGTAACGTCAACCCGGATCAAGAGGCACACGGCAATAGGATGAGAGCGACCTCAGGCTCATGGTTCAACGTCTATAAGTTCATAGCGCTTTACGAGAGATGTATTCTGGAGTCTGAATGCCAAGTAACCGTGGTCCCTACGACCCACAATTTACAGGTGCTTGGACCCGGAGGGTTATCCTTACGGCGAAATCCTGCCTGGTGCTGTACTGCATAGAAGCCTACGCTAAGCATTAAGTTAAGCCTCGCTCCTTAACAATCCCTACCCTACGCTACGCCCTACTGAGCCCTAAATTGACTTCCAGGTGGACAAAAACGGCCTGACTGCTTTGCATTACGCTGCTGGCCGCGGTGATCTCGGGATCGTCGTTGCCCTGCTGGAGCTCCGATCAAGGGCCCTTCTCTGGTTTGTCTATGCTTCGGTATGCTGCCGGGTTGTTGTGTTTAAGATTCGTTTTTCTCTTGGGGTTCTGCGGTAACTTCGGGATTTGGAATTTAGCGCAAGGGCCTTCTTCGGATGATTTATAGCGATGTCGGTACGGGGGCACTTAAGCAGGAGCCAGCTCAGGAGTCTGAACATGAGGTACTTTGTTCCTCGGTGGTCATCCGTAATGATCGAGATTCCTTTTAGAGCCTATCTACGACTCATCAGGAATGCCTATCTGCTGGGGAGGCCATACATGACAGTTTGATCTGCAATTCCTGACCGGAAGCCCGGCGATTTCAGAATCCGTGAGAACTCACTCCACCCTGTTTCGCTTTGGGTCAAGCATTCAGTGCCGTCGAACGTGTCAGCTTCCCCTCTTCTGCTTTGAAATGTGCATGTGATGTTCGACCCTAAACTTCAATGATCATGCTGGTGTGGGATGCTTTGCAGAACTCCTCAAGCGTTTGAAAGTTCAGTGCTTCCACACTTGGTGGTGGACCGGGGCGATGCTCGGGAGGGAGTGTGGTTGGCTGGTTCGTGTCGCAGGGGTCGTCGCTGTTTGTGGGGAGGATAGTGTAAGTCTCTGCAGAATCAGGATTTGGGGAGAAAAAGAGCTTGAGGCCTCGGCGTCTAGGTTATGGTGAACTACTTTGTGTGATTGCATCACCTGCGTTTGTACGGTCTGCCACATCGTACACATAATTTATCCTGTCCAGAGGGCTTGAAGCGTGCATGTACGTAGGAGGGCCCCGGAAGTCTGTATAACGATGTTGGGTTTAGAGCTTAAGGTTTAAGGTCTTTTGGGTTTGGGGCAGTGTCCTTCTTTAGCCGTGCAGGAGCTGTCCGCGGGTGTCGACACGAGAAACAAAGACATGTCACTGGCTCGGGTTAATGGACGGCTGCTGATCGTCCCAAGGGCGTAGGGGACTGGTTTGCACGGCCCGGGCAGGATTAGGGGCTACGTTTGCAATGACAGTATAACGGTAATCGAAGCTCACGACCCAAGCGTTCTTTCAAACCCTCCAGCCTCCATGAATCCGAAGCCAAACAACTCGACAGTAAAGCTTAAGCACGTCCCCCTAAGCAAATCCAATGCCTTGCAACTGCATCATTGCAGCCTCAATCGTCCATCCGAGACTGGAGCCCCTAGACCCTCCTTCTTGTCCCAAGTGCCCGAAAACCAAAGCCTCATCACTACTGTAAGTCCGGCAGCCCAGACCCAGTGCTTTTCAGGGCAACGTAGAACTTCTTCTAGTGCAGTGTAGGCATCGTCTCACATACAAACATACACCAAACCCCTTGCCGCAATTGTCTTGAGCTCCCACGTAGTCCCACAATGCTCTCTCGCGCAGAGCAGACCCTTTCGAAGATCCTCTGATCGCTCAACGAACCTCGAACAGCCGTTCACAGGAGTAGTTCAATCATCAGGATGGAGGTCCAACAAACACCATAACACCAGACTCACCAGACCCTCAAGCTGTAGCATAGACGCCTTAAGCCCAAACAGGGTTCGGGGGCTCGGGCTTCAAAGCACGAAGCCATGCACCCGTGACGGAATTGAAATTACAGGCGAACGCCGCTGATGTGGGCGGCGAGAAACGGCCACATGGAGGCCCTAGATTTCGGGTTTGCAGTCTAGTTTGCTTTAAGTGATGGGTTAACGAGGATCAGGTCGAATCCGCGCGTAGATATCGGATCATCTCTGTCTCGAGACGGCCAGAGGCCACAGATGCGAGATGCTGCGTGCTGAAGCAAGCCAACACCTTCCAACCCTCAAAAACAAACCTATTTCAGCGTGTGCGAAAGTGCCGTGCATTGTAAGATATTGGTATAAGCCTGTTGCAGGCCCAAAGCCCTAAACGGTCCCTTCTGAATCCTGATCTAGCCTCTGAACCCGAATCCGGGACTGAGTGCCCAAATCTAAAGTCCCTGAACCTACACCGCAAGTTCTCATCGATGAGCTCAGATTCCAGCAGCTTGAAGTTGATAGGAAACTTTGGCCATGGACCAACGCAGAGTTTGGTTACTATTTATGACTTGCAGGGCTTTACATGTTAACTGTTACATCTGCATAAACACGTAGGCGAAAGTGTATGGTCTTTGCTTCTGTGTACCGACTTGCTCGTTCATTCTGGCTTTAGTGTTACACGAAGCTCGCCTAGTTCTTGCAGTCCGACAAGACTCAGGTAAAAGAGAATCAGAACCCGAGACTTGCAAATCCTGCAGAACTGACATGACCAAAGCCAATAGATCAAGGACACCAATCCACAACACGAACGAACACCCGTACCCGGCCCATAGTGGCTATGGCAGCATAGAATCATAGAAGACTGAAAGGTGTGTGAGGAGCTGGTGAAAAGAGGGGCCTGGGCCCCAGCCAACAACGTGGTGCTCCTGGGCGTATCCATGTCGGCTACATGAGCCCCCAACTTGGTGTACGAGGGCAGTGCGCCAGACTCCGTACCCGAACTGGAGCCCCTACTCAGCTTTACATCTGAAATTTCCATCTGCCGAGAGCCTGCGAGACTGCATCTCACAGCATAAGCACCATGACCCGAGGCCGATGTGCGCGCGGCCAACAAGTTGGGTATTTGCTGCTTACATTGGGCCGCTTGGTCTTCAGCCCTTTTCAGAGCCGACTATTTGGGAAGAGGTTTGGCTACGGGTGACGGCTCAGGGTGTGGACTTTGGGATTTAGATTGGGCTTGAACTCCGTTTGACCGGAGTGCATTTCGGGGTCGTGGCCCTTGAATCCCCCCATGTATTAGGACCAGGAGCTTAGTTACCGTCCACTACGAAACGGAGGCTGCTTGGGGCGGATCGCTTGATGCCGTCGCTTTCCTCTTGGAGAAGGCTGGCCCTGCAAACTTTTGGCGACTTTGACGCTTGCAATCCATTTGAGACTTATTGTTTGGAGCCACAGGCTTTCCCGCAAAACCTTCGAAGCCCCAATCCGAGTTTTGAAGCTTGAACATGCCCCCAACCACAGATTTCACCGTCTGATCCCAGAAGACTATAGTATAGGGGCTTTAACAATTACATAGATTTTTTGATGGTTGCTTATTGTGAATATAATAATCAGAAAAAACCTGTTGGAAGTATTCAGGCCCCTAGTACCAGCCTGAGCTCCGAACCCAGATGACCTAAACCACACTACAGAGATCTCGAGTTGCACCTCTACCTCTGACGACAGGAAGCCGACATCAACTCGGCACCATGGCGTGACTTGTGAATCCTGATAGCCCCGTTAGGGTTCAAGTTTGGTGTTTTGAGGTCGCTCTGTTTTCTTCGGGCAGACAGAAAGGCTTGAATTTAGGGCCTTAGGGTTTCTGATTTCATGTGCTTCGCGAGGTTTAGGATGTAGAGTTCATAGGATCCGGACTTTTAGGGTATAGTTTAAATCGGGCTTAGACTTTGTGGTTAAGGGTTCCGGGTTGTTAGTGTTCGGGCATCCGGTTGTTAGTGTGTGGGCATCTGGGTGTGACCACAGCACGACACTACGCAGGTCTGAATGAGTAGTTACCAACATCTTAAACCTCCTGTATGATCAGACTGTAATCTACCCCAGACCCCTGTACTGCACTAACCACTCAAGCACCACATTCGACCCCATAATTTCGAGCCCCATAAGCCCTGAACCCGAAACTTGAGGGTTTCTGGGTTTCTGCTTTTCAGTGTTGAAAGCTGGTTCGGGCTTGGGCGTCGCAGGGTCTGTCTGAGGCGCTCTTTGCTCCTGGCTTTAGGGATGCCGGATCTTCCGAGTTCCGGAGCTTCCCCGTATCGTCTCTATGTTGGACAAGAAGTCCGAAAAATGCCCGCATTAACCGAAGCCTTTGATTCTTGTGTAATGCAATCCTCGTAGAGTCTTACGTAGCGCTCTTGCATACGTTTTTGACTTAATTTCGCAATCACATATAAACCCAAACCCTATAGATGCTTTTCTTAAAGACCTCCGATACCTTCACTCTCAAGACCCCGACATTACCTATAGCCTGCAAATTCGAATCTCTAAGCACAAGAACGCAACTGCGATGCTTTCCAGGGCTTTAGTTGGTGGTGGCAGATCATCCATAGGTGTTAGGGTTGGGGTTTAGATTTTATTGGGCCCCGAGAATTTGTACAATTTCCTCGAACCCATCAGTCTTCAAGGCATGAAGCCGTGGACTACATAAGTGACGAGCCGCAAGCCCGGAAGCCCTGAGGCGCAGACCATAACCCGGGGCAGCAAGCATTGAACCATGTGCCAATCCCACGAGGTGTGCCATGCAGGTTGCAATGTGGCAGCATCTCGCTGGCAGCTTGCAGACTGTTTTGCCTTAGGCTTCAGTCGTAGAGTTTAGGGCCAGGGCCTTGGCGGTTCAGCCTTTAAGCATTGGGCGTTGGGCTTCAGGCAGCTGCAGGTCCCTGTGCTAGAGTTTTCAGGAAGGGGCTCCTCATGCTATGCTGGGATGAGGAGTGACTTCTGGCAAGCCTTTTCGGCATGGGCGTTTGGAAGTATAGGTTCATCTGGTATCGAGGTTCATATTGTTTCGAAGGTAAGCCTTGCCAGTCCAGGAAAAAGTAGGTTGTGGTAGTTTGAGGTAGTGATCTGGTCCAATCAAGGGGGTACTGGATCGACAGCGCTCTTACACCACAAACGAGGTTTGGGCTGCGACGGCCGGCTCCTACGAAATGTGCGTGTGGCTGAGCTGCGACAGGATCTTGTTCAGGCTTTTGAGTGAGAAGCCGTACCCACAACGCCCCAAACTGCAACCCGGAACCATCAGTTGGCCATGAGCCTACAATGTCACAACTGGCCTCAACCCCCTAGCCACCCCAAAGTGTGAAGCTCTGAAGCCCCACGCCATGAAACTGTACATCACGGCCCTAATTCCAATTCTGAAGTCTTGATCTTATTTAGTATCGTAGACTCTATATGTCAACACTGAAGCCGGGCCAAAGCCGCACATTAACCCAAACCCTGTTCTAACTATTCAGTCTCTACACGAAGCCATGCAGTACCGTACAAGGTTTAAATCAACCTTCGAATTAGGAAGGCCCTTACATTACACCCTCAACCACTGCGAATTCCGAGGATGTCAACAAGGAAGGTATTGGGTTTCAATTTTCCCCGAGATCCTGCCGCTTAAAGTTCAGGGCATCGTGTTTGGACCTAAGCTAGGGTTGGAGCTTTGTATTTGCAGTAGGGTTGTGGTTTTGCGGGTTATGCTCGGATGTTGGGCTTAGGGGTCGTCGAGCTGTTGGCTCGCAGTATCGAGTTCAGCGGACTTAGGGTAGTCAGGTGTAGAGATTGTTGAAATATGGTCTGCTTGCTCGTAGTGTCGGACTCAAAGATTCTTTACACTCTGGGGTTTAGGGAGTTTGGTGTTTGTTGCTTAGCTCCTCTGGTCTGAGGTGGCTGCATGAGAAGAGAGCTGACTTCGCATCCACCAACAAGCCGCCTCCTTACAAGAAGTATTGCTAACTTTTCACGATTGACTTTGCCTTGCTTGAGGGGATCATGCGGCAATTGGGCACATGGCATAATTGAGCCTTACATGGTTGGTGCTTAAGGCTTTAAAGGTTTCGGGTTGCTAGATGATCGCCGTTGTTACTGGTCTAATCTCAAGCTTCATGCGCCCACCTCGACTCGGAACGTCCTGAAGCCGTGAGTGCATAAGCCCCTTAAGTAAGGGCTACAGTTTCAAAAGGCGCAGCAGTCTTGTTAGATCAGGTGCTCTAGGATTCTGCTGGCATTGTTTCTCAGGGGACGTTCATAGGTTTGTCTGGGGCTCTAGGCATTGTACTGAACCCTAATGGTATAGCCTGAGGGAACTCCGAACCTCTAAGCGAGGAATGGACACGGAGTTCTGAACAAAATCGCCTGGCGAGGCCTGGCGATACAAAGCCCCGACACGAAAAACCTGCGTTGCACGGCTATGTTTTGGTGTTAGGGTTTTGAGTGTTTTGGGTTTTGCACTACATCGTAAATTAAGAACCCATCCGCCCAGATTTCAGTGTGGCCATTGAGTTTGAGGCTTAATCCATACTAGGCTACGCTTCATCAGCATTACATTGGACTCTTCGCCGATTTGGGGGTTCAGACGTTTCATTCGATCGTCACGAACCTATGTAAGGATATACAATTTCCGGCAGAGGGTCATTGAGTACTGCACTCGGTGTTTACAAAACATGGGTTCCAAGCCAACAGGGTCCCGTTTTGGGCATTCACTACCGCGTTTATGGTACCCCTAGAGCCCTAAAACCCGAAAAGCCCCAACACTAAAACCCGAAGACGACCACTCTGAGGGTAATATTAATTCAGAGAACACCTCATCGAGACTTTCTGAAGATCAGGCAAGCCCTGCAACCTAGAAGCTTAAACACTAAACCCTAAAACCCTGAAGCCTAAACGCCCAAAAGCCTAAAACCTCACCTACCCTAAGCCGAGCCGTTGCAGGCCTACTCAAAGCGCTGCTTTCAGCGAACCCGGGCTTGCTATCCTTACGGTTGTACAATGCCTATATGGTACACGTCTTTCACTGATGCCTACAAGCCTTCAGGGAGCCCTACTCAAAAATCTGTTTTCGCAGGTCACAGCGAAAAGCTTGCTGGTTGGATGGTGAATGTGGACGGCGTCGAAGCACAGCGGCTTGCCGAAAACCTAAACCCTACAAAATTACCATGCTTCAAGAGATAAGAGGAGGCCTCCCAAGAATTCCTTAAGGAAGCCTAGATCCTGAAAGCCCGCTAAACCACAAAGCATTTCTGAGCTTCTCGCGACCCAATCCCTCAAGACTGATTGGATTCAAATTGTGGAGGGTTTTCTCAGCTTCGAGGCGACGGCTGGGGGTTTTGGTGTTTGTTGGGGTTGAGGGTAGAGGGTATGGGTTCAGGGTTTAGCGCTTTCGACAGCAAACACCACCTGTTTCGGGTGGTGTGTTGTGATATTCCTTCTTGTCTTGAACAGGGTAGGTTTCTTGGGCTGCAGGTAGGTTTCAAGGCATGAGTGTAGCGTTTAGGATTTGGGGGCATGAAGGGCTCGCGATTGGTTTTCGGGTTGCTTTCAGCTGCTGTCGACAGCTTTGAACTGCCCGTTGACACGTGCTAGAGTAAGGGTTTAGGATAGGTCAGGGGGCTTGGCTCAGGGTCGAGCTTTCCGGTTTGGGCAGTTAGTATTTAGGGTGGAACCTTATGACTAGTTTTCTCGAGTTGAGTATACCGGGCTTGATGGTCCAGCGCATATGCGACTTACTTAGGGCTTGCAGGTTGCGGTCTTAAGTTGCATGCAACAAAGATGAATGATGTGGGGGTTCAGGGCTGACAGCAAAGGGAAGCTGAGTCTTCCAGAGTACATGCACTATCAGGGCCTACTTTGGGAAGCGCATGTTCAGGGTTTATGAGCTCTGGGAGTCTCTTTTGCGTTTAGCCCTCTTGACTCTTGACCTGATATAACGTCTCGTTGAGGTTTTGAGCTTCTGGTGCCCTAGAACTGTTAAGTCTGCTAAGGGCCAGCTCGTGGGGGTAATGTTGTAAGTTTTGCAAAGCGTGCTTCATCCACAGAATCAAGCCACAAAGCAGATTACAATTCCATGCATGGCTCGAAGGCTTTTCGCGCGCGACTGGGAGAACGAGCTTCCTTTGGACAGGGCGCGCCAGCAAGGTGCGCAGCTGTAGGAATTGCACTTGGCATGAATCCTAAACTCTAAACGGTTGCTGTTTGCAGCCAGCCCTCTGCGCCTAAGAGGTTGTGGCGGTTCGTGACATGAGGGGTTTGGGCGGCAAACCCGCAACCCGATTGAAAGCCAATCCTGTACGAATAATGATTTGAGTGGATCGTTTCGAGGTTGAGGTTAGGGGTTAGCCCATACAACTGTACATCTTGTTGGCCCAAAGCAATCGCAAAATGCTTCGCCGCGAAAACTCGTACCTTGTACTTCGAAGCATGCATCTCATCCTTACCTTTACTAGCCGCTTTAGTTCCTTTGGTGGCGATCAGAAGATCCTGACCATGCAGTGGGCCAACCCGGAAACGGAACTACACTAGAGAGTATAGGTTGGCATAGGTACTCCTCGGCCAGGTCATACGCAGCTTGCCGAGTGGCTTCATCAAGAGATGTGCCGGCGAAGGCCGTCTTGGCGCGAGGAAAATCTCACGGCTCGGGCTGTCAGCAGAGTGCTTGAATCCTATACCACACAGCCAGGAAGAACCTTTCAGAAGCCCGCGCAACCGAAGCACCCTAAGCAGACCCAAACCCATCGAAACCCTAATCCAGTTAAGGCTTCCGAGATTCGCAGCCCGTTTCCGAGATCCAGAGCCCCAAGCACAGAGCTGATCCCGAAAGAGTGACCAACAACAAGCTTCAATCCCCAAGACCGCAAGCCATACACCTCAACCCCAGGCTAGTGGCCCTCAGCATTTGGGCACGAAGGCTTCCAAAACAAATTCGGTTTCTAAGCCACAAGCCCTAAATCTGCGATGCCCGCACTCCTTAAACCTTTTGACCTGTTTATCCTGGCGGCACTCAACAACAGCGATTTGTTGAAACCGCGAGGCCTTACCAAGGCCCGCTATGACTTGCATGCATAACTGTATGCCTTCAAGCTTGCTTGCTTGTAGCCTGGCCTTTCCGATAGTCTGAAGTCTGAGATCTAACCCGCTGTACCCATATCCGCCCCCTCGAGCTTACCAAGTGCATCCCCTCGTTGTTCCTGTGTGCTTATATATGATAGTCGAGTCCAAACGCCTGGAAAGTTCAGTTTTCATTCCTGTATATTGCAGCCTTCTAGAAGCATCTGGCGATGGCCCGGAGATTTGCCACCCGCGCTCTCCTATTGCTGTCCTGCAGCCGGGAAGGTGCGTTGGGCCTCGGCTTTCTGCGTGGGTTTTGGGGCCTTAGGTGTGTAGGGTTCAGGGTTTAGCTCTCAGAGCCTGGGCTCAAAAGTTGGAATTTTTTATTTTAAACTCTTAAACCCTAAACCCTAAACCCGAAGTTTAGATTTTGGCATTTGTGGCTTGCCTGCCAGCGTTGGGTTTTAGGCTTTAGCCTTGAGACTTTGGGATTGTTTTCTAGACCTGTGCAGGGTTCAGGGATCAGCTTCAGGGCCCGGCGGTCTATGGATGACTACGGCTTATCCAGTAGGGATTAGAGTGCAGGGGTTTGGGAGTTTAGGGCTGTAGTGCTTTAGGGCATTAGGGTGTTTCTCTCGATGCGCTCTTCCTCCACATGTTGCTGATTCCTCTAGTACCGACTATACCGGCATTGGAAGCACTTAATTTGAGCATCAGGCTTTCTTGGACCATGCATGGATTTCGGCAGCTTGGGTTTGGGCTTTTCTTCTTGGCTTAGAAATCGCAGGATCATCTGATAACCCATAGAAGCCCTCAACCGTCCAGGCCGCGAGGGAAGTGTTCACTGTTCTCCCCTCCCCCCACCCGGCAAAGGCAGAATGTGGGTCTGGCGGTCTTATGAAAGCTCCAAGCACTACACGGCCTGGCTCAAACCCAAAAGCGCGAACCCCAATCTGGAACAATAGTACACCAGGCAGGAGCTCAGTGCCGCCCTTCTCACCAGCAGGAACAGCTTTGGAGGTGCCTTGAAAGGGTTGAGGCTCTTGCGTTTATAGCAAATATCAACCCATGGGCATCTTAAACATTATCTTCTTGTTCTGGACCTAGGGGGCTCAAAGGTTCCTAGGGGGCTCAAAAGCTCAGGGTGAAGCGAAGATCCAGGGGTTAATGCTGCGGAGTTTGGGGTTGAGGATGTCGGCTTGGATGTTCAAAGCGACGCTACAGGCCATCCGGTGTAGACCCTAAGCCCCCTCCGAACTCAACTACTCAGGCCGAAACCTTGAATAGCACTACGGTACGGGTGGTATGGTAGAAAACGGCTAACTAAACCCTGAACCTGTAAACTTCTGAATCCTTAAGCCCAAGTTCCCACAGTTGGGACCCCGGAACCCCACATAGGCAACCGCAAACTCAGGCCGCCCGGCAACTCGTTCGCCCAAAAGCGACCTTGCAGAAAGATGGCGAGTTCGAGGGTGGCGAGCTGCCTGGAGAGGTTTACGAAGGTGTTATACCGGCTTATATTGTTTGAAAAGAGTTTCGTTCTGGTTCTATCAGATAATAGAGGTCTAAAGAGACGCAAGAATATCCCCTGAGATGGCCTTGTTTGGATTTGATTTATGGGTGCTCTATAACTTATGCGTGCGAAATCATGTGTTATTCGTGGCCCAAATATGAAAGGCCTCCCGCCGATCACTGGCATATATTTCGGAGAAAAACCTTGAGAAACCTATGCAAAATCGAGGCCCGTGTTCATACGCTTCCCACTCCTCAGTGCTTCCGTTCAGCCCCTTCACCAGCTACACACCCTGCAGTGCTGCGATCCTGCAGCTGCTGCAGTCTGAAGTCCCCCTTGCAGGAACCCTCCGTTTTTGTGGCTCTTGCTACCTGCAGTCCCCTTGCGGCCCCAAAACCCTATGGCTCGTGCAGCCTGCAGTTCCCGGGCAGTGCCTGCAGCCCTACCTTTCTGCCGCGCGTGCTGGCTACAGTTCCTACAGTCCTGACTCAGTCGCTACGGCAATCGGAAAGGTTTTGGCGGCTGCCATAGTAATCCTTCTAGGCGGAAAGGGTACCGCAAATAGGCGGCAGTTGTACGGCAGTTTGGTCAATCAAAACTTTGGGTGCTTCTGCAGCCACATACCTCCCGAAAACGCTTATAGTATGAGGATGATTTTTGATAATAGGAGGTTAACAATGCGTGAGTACCCTATCGTAATTTTGGTGTGGAAAAAAACCTGCGGCAGTTTCTCCTAACTATGGGGTTCTTGCATTCAGTGTGAAGAAGATTTGAAGCAGATCGTTGTTCTCGCGAGGTGCGCGCCTCCCACAATCGTGCTCCCGTCACAGTCCCACGTAAATATTCAGGTGGGCTCGTGCTACCGCCACAGCCCGACATGTGCTCTGGGGTGCCGCTCATGCTCTACGGTGTGGTGCACATTTGGGGCTCATTGGGTGTTGTTGGGAGCCTCAGAGATCCTCCTGGAATGGGATTGTAATTGTAGTGTCTGGAACGGTAACGATAAGTGCTTTTCCATTGTTCGGGGTTTATTCCGTATGGGTTCTCAGAGCTTGGATTTTGGACCGCGCCTTTCGAGGCTTTGGGCTACTGCTTGCAAGTCACGAACCGGGCAAATCGTCAAACTTCACAGCTTAGCCGCTTGCTTCTGCGGACTTCCGTGGGTAATGGCAACTCACATGCCGCGCAAAGCCTTGAAACTTGCAGATTCCGACACAGGAGCCCAAGATTGCTTCTTTTTGGCACCTGCATCTATACCCGGAGCCTTGTTTTAAGATTCTTGTGGCTAGATTTAAACCAAATGACTGCAAACTTGGGTCTTAGCTGCTCAGGTTCTGGGAGGCACACGAGGAGCTGCTGAAGCGCGCATGGCAGGCCTGTGCGGGAGCTTGAACAGGGTTTCGTGCCTACAGTTTCTTCTACAAGGATGTGCCGAATTTTCTGAGCTTCCAGGCGAACGTGCTAGGAATGAGCTTCGTATGTTCGATGTGTGGGGTCCAGGCCATCGAGCTATGACACCCGGGTCCTGTTGTATTTCCAGGCTAAGTCCTTTGAAAGCTCTCTAGGGCTGAGGCCAGAAAATTCCTCCTAAAGCCTGAAACCACTTCAGGAGATTTTATTGCAAGGTTTCGGGAAACGTGATACATACTGTACATTGAGTTTGAGCTTTGCGCGCTCGCGAGGAAGAAAACCTCACAGGGCCAAGGTTTCAATTGAACCCCCCCAGACCCCAAACTTTATAAAACACACAGCCCTTTTCCCCCGAATATCCCACGGAAAGCTAACAAAATCAACGAGGAACATGGCCCGCTTCACACTGACTTGTACAACTTTGGCCCCGTCTTTGAACGCAGAGCCTGGGTTCAGGATTTAGGGCGTCAGAGGTTTTGGGGATCACGGGGGCTTATTGGGACTAGAGGGTTTCATCGGTCTGTTTATTTTCAGTTTGGAGGGTTTAGGGAGTTGGAAGCTTGAGGGGTTTAGAAGGTTTAGGGTTTAGGGTTTAGGGTTTAGGGTTTAGGGCTTTTGGCGGATTTCACATTTAGGTATTTTTATTCTGAGCGTAGTGGAGTTATGGGCCTCTGCGTTTTGCAGATTCGTTCTTCCGATTCCTGCCCATGCCGGAAGGGAAGGTCAGCTGGTTCGACAGCTGGCAAGATTATAGGGGGTCCTAGTTTTCCGCAAGTCCCAGAGGCAAACACTGCACAATCAGGATACCTGAGCCCCAAGCTGCGCGCTGCAGTCCGGCTGGCACGGGAAGAAGGTCGCCGTTTTGAGATCACGGCTAGGAGCCTTGGGGTTGGGTTCAGGGTTTTAGTCATTTAGGGGTCCAGGGTTTAAGGTTTGGGTCTCTTATGGGGTTTAGGATGCGGAGCCACGAAAATTCGTTGCTTTCGCAATATCGGCTTCTGGAATCCTCATTCAGCTTTCCATAGATGCCTATGTAGTGGGTTACTGCTTCATATGCTTTCCATGCATCGCAAACCGACCCTATAACAGAAAACATATCTTTGTTGTTCTATAATACATATATATATATATATATACATGTGACGCTTTCTGTGTATATATAAATATATATACACATACAAATAGATAGTCAAATAACTAAACAATATGTCATTCGAACAATAAATTAGAAATTAATCCAAACAGAAATATACCAAATCGATATAAACATAAATACCAAGTGAAATAGGAATATAGAACACACATAATGTGAGCTCGTGATTGGTAATGGTCCCCTCAATTGAGCTAAATTTCGCCTGCACACAATAGTGGAAAGGCCCCCTCAATTGAGCTAAATTTCG